ATACATTTGGTAGCTTTTATTTTATTACCAATTCTGCATACTGCACACTCACTGCTGAAGTGGGACACAGCATGGTTAAATATAGCAGTAATGCAATAATAAAATATTTTTACTACACTAATTTTATGGATAGAAAACTACTCAGGACAAGGAGATGTGATAACCCAGTAGGCCTGGATTATATATATATTAAAAAATCTATCTTAATGACTAACAGAGCCCTTGCATGGATATTTATTGAATATTATCATTTATATTATTCAGTGATTCATTTAAAATGTACTTATTGTAAATTCCTGTGTTAAAAAGTTAAAAACTATATTGACTTATATTCAAAACCTGTATGTAATCATTTGTGTCATCTATGACATTTAAGAAATATTAGCTGAAGTTGAACTTGGGCCAGGTCGTACTTTTGTGTAATATCAATTTCTACCAAAAGAGGGTGGGGTGAGTCAATAGAGCATTCGGAGCCAAACCCAGTACCTTCACTGTCCCATATCCATTCCAGATCAAATAAACAATTTTCCTGCTTCTTGTGACAGCAATGGACAGCTAATACAGAAAGTATAAATAAGTGAAGCCACCATGGAAGTGATCCAAACCTGCATTCTTTCTAATAACCAGCAGGGGAGATGCCACTGGTTCCAGAAGGACTCCCAGCTGTATACAAGTCTAAAATGTCTCTTGTCTGCTTTGCTCACTGCAGTAAACACTTTCATAATGAATGTACTGGCTCAATCACCAGTTTCAGGTCAGAATGAATAAAACATAAAGTTCAGTCTATGAATTATGGTCATCATTAGAGTCAGAATGGATGATTATTCAGGGTGTGTGGTGTTCTCAGTTTCACAGTCCATCTCTCTTGTTTCAAAATACCAAGTCTCCTGCTGTGAAAATACTGAATTCAAGGCTTCATAACAAGACATCACTAAACATTAGATAAAGGTCAAAGTGACAAATTCTAGCCTTTGTACTGTCTATGGAAACTAAACTAAGAACTTTTCTCATTTCATAACTGAAACGTCCTCCTGTCAGTGACCCTCGTCTCTTTTGTCCTTCATCCTCCTATCTGTGATTTGTAAACCAATCTCACCGCTTCATGTTTGAAGGATATCGAAAATAATGGCAAGCTTCCTCTGTCCCGGATGACAGAGGAGGCTTGCTAGAGGCATTATCATCAAGGATGGACAGATAGATTCTTTGCAGAAGTATTTTACGTTCAGTGTATAAAGGACGCATAGACCTTGGTGGGAGAAGGGCTCTTTAAAGAACTTGTCTTTTTTTACTCATAGGTTGTTTCTTTATTTAAGTTCATCAAACTTACTGCACTTACCTTCACTGTTTCAGGGTGCTATTAAAATAGGCATGACGTCTTACAACATTACAGCATGTAATGAATTTAATTAAAAGTGGCCATAACTTCTTGGACTTGGACTATAACAAAAACATTCATAAACAATGTGTGATGCTGTGTTGTTGAACGTCATATTTAATTGGCATTGGTCAGAGGGAAGGATTCTCATTTTGATGAATGCATCAGTCCTCATGCCACTTCCTCATATCCTTGTTGCCAGTTTGGGAAATTTTAGTGTAATGGTTTACACATTTTACCTAACAAGCAAAAAAAAAAAGTCCCTCCAGTTTTTGAATCATTGCGAGAATAACAATTGTCACCGCAGTATAAGGAGAAATAATCAGTAATGGAATAGATTTGGGGGAATGTACAACAAAGTAGAAAAACTTGAGGAACAAATATGTATACACCCGATAAAATCCAACCACGCCAACATTTTATTTTTCTATCAGCTGGTACCACATACAAAACACCGGGGCACAAACACACGGAAATGACCGTATAACGCAAGTATAAATTCTAGCAACAGTGTCGGCCACTTACATAAGTTACATGTCAGACTCTAAAAAGATTAACTGAAGAAGTCTAAATCAGGCATTTGGGATTAGTTGAAAGCAGCTTTATAAACATGGTAAGACTCTGCCCCCTGATGGTGAAGGTTTTAATTACATTCTGTCAAGGTTAATTACAAAAAGTACCTTTAAGCAGTACTTCATATTAGTTTCCTATTCTTCACACTTTTCAGAAACTGCAACTAACTTATTTTAATTTATGATAATCTGCCAGTTTTCCACATTGGTTATTATCGATAAACTCAAACTTGGATAACTTGGCTGAGCAGAAACTGCAAAATCCAAAAGTATGCAACAGATAAACAATAATCTATCAGAGCAAGGAAACAAGTAAATGCATGCCTACATCTTTCCCCAGTCAATGCCTGTCATGCTGACCTAACTGATCATTCTCCCTTTGTTTTCTCTCAGTTTTCTTCTCTCTTCTTCCTCCTTGTTATTTTGTTTCGGGCTCCTCCTTAGTGGAGTAGTTGCGGGTGTCGCCAGGTGGAGCTCCATGCTCTCCCAGTCAAACCTTCAGGAGGGTCCAGGACTCCCTCAGCGAAACACACACACACACACACACACACACACACACACACACACACACACACACACACACACACAATAACATGCTCGCGCACACCAGCGCACGCGCTTACGGCTGTCAGGCGTGTCAGAGAAGCGCTCGCGCTTCTGTGAGTTGAAGGAGCGAGAGTGAGGGCGAGCGAGCGTGTAGTCGGTGCTTTACAGTGAGCGGGACCAGGCACGCTGCTGCCGTGTCAGTGAGTGGAGGCTGGCTCCGAGTCCGCTTCTTTCACTTCTTTTCTCGCTTCTGTGAAATGGACTTCTGACAGCAGCCGGGCTGCGGGCGCCGCCGGTTCCTCCTGACCGGAAAATGAAGCGACTCTGTCGGAGGCTGGCGGTGGCCGTGGCGGTGCTGGTGTGGCTGGGAGCGCTGGTTTACCTGCTGGTGTTGAGCCGGAGGAGGTTGCCGGAGCTCAGTCCAGGAGCGGTAGCAGGGGGAGGCGGAGTAGCAGGAGAGACAACCTACAACCAGGTGAAGTAAAAATATGACCTGCTGTGTACGCGTGGCGGACTTAAGCGGGACGTCTGCGGAGCTCGGGGCAGTCGCACTAGTTTTAGCAGCATCATGAACCCAAATCCCGAGTGAAGGAGTTTCTGAAACAGACATGGAAACGGAAAAAAAAGTTGTAAAGAATTGCTCCAATATGAGAAAGTCCTTTTTGACATTAATCTTAAGTAAAGCAACCAAATTGTCAGGAAAAAAGTCTAGTGAAGTTTAATGATGGGGGGAAAGTGTTTACTCTTTGTAATTACCTCCGGTGGACCTAAACATCACTAATGAGCTCTTTCAATCGTTGCACTTTCTCTTAATGTATTGGTGAATTCTTGACCTGTAAAATACTTTGGCCATGCAGTGGACTAAAAACAAGACTAAAACATCTCAAAGGTGAGATGAGAGCAAATGCCACCAAAGATCCCAACTTTCTTCTGATTGCTTTTCTTGACTTGACTCCCAGAGTAAACTAAATGTTGTCTTCTGTGTTGCAAGTTAAAAACTTTTATTTTTCAGTAGATTTATTATCAGTGAAAAATCAGTTTTCTAATCCTACAGTATTCCTATCAGAGCAACTCAGTAAATTGTGAGGTAATACTCAGTTTGTCATTTTAAATTTCATTCCTTTTTTTAATGAAGTGTTGCACGCTCAGTATCCACTATCAGAGCTCTTATCATTGTTTAATTCAGTTATCAGATTGCAGTGGTTCCTTTGAAGATAATTGGGTTCATTTTCGACCCAGCTTGATACCCATGCCCTGTGTTCACTGCAGGACGTCTGTTATGCAAAAGACCCGCAACATGTTCACTGTAGCTGGGGTATAAACGTATTGATCCTGTCTCTCTTACCTTGTTAAACAGAGCTGCCAGCGCACACATGCACACCATGTAGGAATTGTGTAACAGCCCAACTGAATGGTAAATGGCCTGTATTTGTATAGCGCTTTACTTAGTCCCTATGGACCCCGAAGCACTTTACAGGACATTCAGTCATCCACCCATTCACACACACATTCACACACTGGTGATGGCAGCTACATTGTAGCCACAGCCACCCTGGGGCGCACTGACAGAGACGAGGCTGCCGGACACTGGCGCCACCGGGCCCTCTGACCACCATCAGTAGGCAATGGGTGAAGTGTCTTGCCCAAGGACACAACGACCGAGACTGTCGGAGCCGGGGCTCGAACCGGCAACCTTCCGATTACAAGACGAACTGCCAACTCTTGAGCCCCGATCGACCGAATGTCCGTAAGAATATGGTGAGATTGTCATACATGGTATAAACCACATAATTAGCAGGGATACTGTATGAATTTATCAAGAAAAGATTATCTATGCTTAAGATAAATTGTAGCTGACCTTTGTAAAGAGTGTTCTGGGTCAGGAATTTGTTTTGTTGTGAGGCACAACAGGTAAAATGCATCCGCTTCAATGTACTTTACCTGAATAAATCTAATGAATAAGGATCCAAGTTGCAAGATTTTTAGATGGAAGTACCACTCCAGCGTGTATGTGCAGGGCATTTCTGTGTGAGGACTGCTACATATTCAGCATCTCCACCACACGCTGGGACTCAGCAGTCTGTGTCAAAGGAACATGTGTTTATAGAAACTGCAAAAAATACAAAAAATAAATTCTGCATATGAAGTAGGAAAGATCTCTCATAAGCTGTTGTGTTCTTTGTGCTTTTCTGAAATTAATATGCATGTACTCGAATCACATTATTTGTTCTTCAACACCAGCGTACAGACCTCTGACCTCCCCGAGGCCCTTGTTAATGTTTGCTTGTTGCTAAAGTGCACACTAAGCACTGAATGAAGGCTTTCAGAAAGTTCTGAGTACACAGCAGAAACCCACGTTGCAGTTAGACCACCTGCAGTGTGCGTTTATTTTTGTGAGTGTATGTGTGATCTGTTACAGTGCAGTGAATTTAGAGCTAGTGTAAAAGCTGCTTCACAGGAATTCCATTCTTCACATCATCCTATATATACAGAATAGACTTACACTTCTGCGTCAGCTCTATGTCGTAACTTATGCCATAACCGGAACCCTATTTTAACCCTACACTGCAACCCTCTACCTGGTGTGCACCTCCCAAGAAACATAATGCGGGTTGAAGCACAACGCAATAACTCGAATACTGTGGAAAGTTGTTGTGTAGGAATAAAAGGAGTTTCCAGTTACTATGAAAGTTACGACGTAGGATAAATCAAGCTTTAGGCTTCTCTGAAACCTGCAACCAGCTTTTCAATGGAGGCCTACAGCTGTAGGTATTCTCTGTCTGAAAAAGAGCTGTTTTAACTCCATCTTTCTCCCTTTAATCCAACTTTATTTTGATTGGGTGCCCTTCTTAAACAGGAGGTTTGAACAGCAGGTGCGTGTGCTTGACTGTGTGCACGTATTGACTATTATAGAGTAGCATGCTCTGTCTGCGTGGGCAGAAAGGTTCGCAGACTGAATCAAAAGCAGGAAGATAAGTCATCATTCGTGACAGTCTTACTCACCTTGTCACTCTACTGTGACTGTAGATTTCAACATTTGTTTGATAGAATACTAAAAAGATCAGGAAAGCAAAACCACAGTGCTAGCAAAGGGTGTGCACTGAAGTCAGAGTATACAATTTGGAGCAAAGTATGTATATCTCACTCCTTGGGGCTTAAAAAGTTGGAGTGGTTCATCAGATGATCTGGGAAACTCATCTCTTATAAGATACTAGAGATGTGTTCAAATGTCCATTTGATATATAGCGCACTACATATATAGAGTCCGCAGTTTTATAGCACTGATTGAAATCTCAGCTGTAAATTTCATCCTCTATGTTATGTTCTACAAAAATCGCCACATGAGACAGCAAGAAGTGGGTTACAGGCGCTTTATTGTATATCCATCGAAGGAGACCGCCGCCTCGCTATCTGTTAAAGAATTCTGATGTAGTGTGCTAATGTGATTTTCTTACCTGTTGAGAGGGGAGCATAATACTCCTTGGATGTCTCAGCGGTGCGGTGGCTTGTTTCCTCCCCTGCCCTAGCAGTAGGATTAAAAAAACGAAATTATGCGAGACACCTACAAGAAACATATTTGAGACTTTTCAGTCTAAACTGTAAATATGTTGGAGACGTGTTATTAAGTAGCATGCTTATGAAACCTTTGCACACAAGCAATAAGAGTGAAGCTGCTGCTGTTAAAAAACAAACTGTTATTACGTTGCATTTGGCTGTGCTTCGAAGGGGTTTGAAATGCATATACTGGAGATACAGTTACAGCAGCCCTTTCCTTCTTTTGCTCTTGTAGGTGGATTTGGTTCAGCTGAAGTACGCTGTAAATAAAGTTTGCACAGATGGTGTGTGGATTAGACTTTTTTTATTTTAAGAATACAGAGTCGTATGTCAGTCACAATGTGTGTGTATACCCAAAAACTGTGTTACATTGCACCATATAGAGGATGAAAGTATAAGCTGACTGCTGTCAGATTTGAAAGACAAACTGTCTCACCCTGTGAGATGATGGATGGACTATCTAGGGACACCTGGGGAACAGCTGGGCAGATGGGTGATGATGGTCAGGTGATGTGCCTCTGCATTGACCTTCAGAGTTGGAGTGACTGAAGTGGCAAATCATGTGTTTGTGCACAACTAGATCATGAAGAAGGACGGCCTGGCAGAGATGAGTTAACCCTTGTATGGTGTTCGGGTCTGTGAGACCCGTGTTCAGTTTTTTTCAAAAGAAAAATTAAACAATTAATTATTTTTTCACGTGTAAATGTGTTGTGTCTTTCCACTCACTCCACTTGATTATAACTGATTTATTTATAACATTTTATATAAAAGAAAAACGAGAAGCACATTAATTCATAAATGTGATCTAACAAAGGTAAAGGGAAAAAATTAACCATGTTTGCTGTTCATATGTCTTGTAATTGGGATGAAGTAAACATCTGTTGAGTAATTTAACATAAAATTGTTTGATAGTGTTAATTTGGAAAGCCAAAACTCTAGCGGGTCCACCAGACCCATGAACACTGGCTGAGTAACAAAAATACAAACACCACACAAGGGTTAAGCTAACTCAGTGATGATCAACGTGATTATGCTGAACAAGAGAAACCCTTAAGCAGCTGACTTCCAAAGCAATTGTAATTTTTGACAATAATTTATGTAGAACGTTACATTATTGTAAATGCCCCCTCATTAACAATAATGTAAATTCGGGAACAATATGAATCGTCTTAATTTTGAGGCGTGCCTTAATTTTGTGTGAATAGGGAGGTGTTTTCAAACTGCTGATAATTCATGCAATGAAGCTTAATCTGCTGTTGCTCTCATTGTATGTTGACCTGGATAAGATTCTCAGCTAAATGCCTCAAATCTGAAATGTAATTAAACTACTTCAGTTGGAGGGATAGAAACAGCTGCAACCACTTTAGCCTATCAAAAGAAGAGGAAAAAAAGAGTGTCTTGTCTTGTGTGGACTTGTTCGGTAAGCTGTGAGCCTACAAGCTAATGAGAGAATCGCTGTTCATTCAGCAGAACAGTGTGTGTGTGTGTGTGTGTGTGTGTGTGTGTGTGTGTGTGTGTGTGTGTGTGTAAAAATGAATGTATCATTTTCAAGTCAGGACACACATGCTGAAATGCACCTCGGCTAATACCCAGCCAGATACAGACTTGCCAACTTAATCCTACAGTTTTTCACACCCAGTGTAAATCTGTAGGTACAGATTTGCCTGGTATCATCATTACCATGCACACAGTCTGCTTGTATCATAAGAAAAGAAGAATATATTTGGCTCTTTCTAGTGCCGTGGTGTATTCTCCAAATGCAAGTTTAAACAGGAGCGCTAGAGAAGTGATACAGTCTTAATTAGAGAGAAAAACATTTGGAATCAAACCAAATGCATCTATAAAAAAAACAGGAAACTTGTCTGAGGAATTTTGCTCAACAGAAACTTCTTAGTTTTAAATTCCTAATTCAGTGTAAAA